GACCCTACGAATTTTTCCATTTGCTTGTTGCGGACCTTCCTCTGTGATACTGACGTTACTGTTCCGTGTTGTCATTGTAATTGTAATGTTCAATAAAGAATATTTCATTCGTTCCGACCTTTGTTTTTGTTTGTAACGACATTTTTTACCGAAGCGCCATCTGTGAGAAATCTATTTCTTCACTCAATTAGTTATTTACATTACAGGTTTTTTTCATGTTCTAAGATTGGTCGAAAGTTTAAATCATTTAAACAAACGAACTGCAAAAAATAAGTGGGCATTTGACCTGATGTCTTTTGCGCGCAGATTTGTAACGAGAAATAAAGGCTTTCCGAGTTAGTGCGTTTGAAGTAGTAATGTATTTGTAAAACGCCGTTTCTTTCCGTCGTTGACCACGTGCCCGTCCGCAGGTGGTGTCGTCGGCGGGCACCGTGTGCGTGCGCTACATCGTGACGTTCGTGCACTCGCCGCGCCTCGTGCCCGTGATCGTGGCCAACCTCACCGGCCACAAGAGCAAGGACATCCGCTCGGCGCTCAGGTGCTGCAGATTCTACTTAGCATAACGAACTTGATGCGATACGGTAGCGCTGTATTCGCGAGATTGCGCGAGAATTCTCCAAAATACACGACCCTTTTTGTGGGACGTATCTAGTTTGTACGCCATATAGTTGACAGAATAATAATAATTACAAGCCATCGAGTATATAACCAGAAATAAAGACGAAATAACAGCCATACATCACTGGCAACTCAACAGGCAAATGAGCCTTATATTACTTTTAAATATCAACCACTGAAATAGTACAGCGCCAACAACTGACCTGTGTGTACGTCTCCGTACATTCCAAAAATATTCTGTATTTATTGTAATAAAGATAATATCTTTAACAATGGGGCCTGTTCCATTCGGTGGTGTAGGAAAAACAGCAAAACATTTAATTACGAAACAAACGGAATCACATTTCATCGGTAATTAAATATTTTGCAATATTCGTCCATTATAGCAAAACTCAAGTTAAACTGGTCGGTTTGAAGTGAAACAATTGACGACACCCGTCAATTGTTTGGAATTCGAGCTGGCCAATCGGAGCGCAGTCGTCACCGTTATGATTTGGCGGAATAATTTTCAAACAAATTAAATGTCATTTCGTCTCTATTTCTGAGTATATACTCGATGTATACAGATGATTGAGTAGGACATTGTTAATATAGCGAGGTGCTAGTGCTGGTGCTGGAAAAGTGGCCAGCGCATACGATCGAGAAGCAGCAGCCGGTGATTAGCGACGCCATCCGCCGCGCCTGCGTCGACGCCGACAGCAACGCCAGAAACTACGGAAGGAGGTTAGTACAATACGAATCGTGTGAAGGAAATTGAACTATTTAATTACTGGTTTAAATAGTTTATTTCAATGAAATAAGAAAAACAAAACGGAAACCACCTTACAGCTATAACGTCGTCCACTGCAACCATTCGCTCCTCAAAATATCTTCCAATCGTCCTATCCGCTCGTTTACATCGATCATTCGTTCACAATGTTACCATGTATTCCCATACATACACTACAGCGAATGACACCATAATGCTTTATGTTGAATGATTAATCTTACCCCCAAGAACAGAAACTGCATGCAGAGGCACACATAGTATGTGACAGAATATCCTGATAGAAAATACTTTAAAGATCTGTAGATGTAAACTCAAATACATATTATTATACAGTGTGTTGATTTGCATTCTCGCCATATTGAAGAAATTAATAATAGAAATAATACTAAATCATCTAAAAATATTAAAAAATTCTGTTCAATATTCTGGTAAATTGTATCTAGTAGTTTTGCAAAATTGTCTCGAAGTTGTATGCACCACGCAAGGGCAGTGACCCCGCCACCCGCTTCACCGAGCGATACGTAATCTTTCTCGATCGCTTATTTACCTATTTTTTAATTATGATTATGTGCTAGTATACTTATAGTTTACTATTTATTTACAAAAATTAGAAAAGTTGACTGAAAAAAGTTTTTTGTAACTTATTTTGGTATTTACCAACTTTAGATTACATGAAAGTATTGCTAGAAGTACCTAGCTTCACCTATGCACAGATTCGCACGTGAGTTTCGTTTTAACATTAGACTCCACAACTTTGAAAGCAGAAACTTCGACACTCGTACCCTCCGCGTAAACTAAACGTTTCACATCATGCCATAAGAATAGACACGCACTTGTACTTGATGGATTACCATGCAGGTTCTGGTGGACATGGTAGCGGTTCTTTTTTGCACTACTAACTCTTGTTTACATACCAAACCACATGGCATTTCGTGACAGACTAGAATAGAATTATGTCGGATGTCATTAGCAAGGTCGACTGATCTACCAATCGCGCGCTCGATACGACACTTCCCCGCCGTCGCTTCCCGCACCCCACGACCAAATATATCCAAAATGCGTTTCTTTCTGTTTACCGCAATTAAATAAACAAATAGGAATTTACTTTTCATACTTAGTTTTTCCCGATTTATTTTTTTAGTGATTTGGTTCAGTTTCGGATATAGAATGACCTCTGTAAATATGGCGAGAATGCAAATCAAGCATAAGATAAGAAGTAAGCTAATTACACTTGCAATCATCACTTTGATTAAATTCCATTACTCATTCGTAAGTGAGATCCCTTCAGAAGAAACTCTAGGGGTTGCTCTTTGTTTAGTAACAGCAGAGCTCCTTGAGAAAGAATTTGTCCAGGGAAGCACTGAGACTTTACCTATTTCTGCCGCCAAACAGTAATGTGATCGTTCCGGGTTTTTTTAATAAATCGAGTGACGGGACAAACAAGTCGTGCGCTCGATGGTATTATTAAAAAAAAGTCCCATATGTCTGTAATTTCACCAGCACCCTTACCCTTTAAAACCGGAACACAGTAATGCTGACATTACTACTTGGCGGCAGAAATAGGTAAGGATTAACTCTTTCACAATGAGCTCTACTGCTACTAACTACCGGTTTAGAAGGGTGGTGAAATCACAGATACATGGCACCTGTTAACTTCGACTCCTCCTATGCAAAGTATCGTATGTCGAAATTGCCAAGTTTACAGGGGAGTGTTTTAAAGTTCTCCGTTTCATTCGGCAAAGTGTTGTAATCATCTAATAGATAATCTAAGCGGTATCTAGGATTTTATAATACTCTATGTGAGTAACGAGATTTGCCCAATAAAAGTGAGAACTCACGTGTTATGCTTATTTCAGTGAATTGAGAATTTTAAAAGGCTCCCCTGTAAACTTGGCAATTTCGATATACGACACTTTACGTGGGAGGGGTCGACTTATGTCTTAGAGTCACGGGCGAAGATCTTTGTGATTTAAAGCTCTGAGTGGCAGTGCAACTGTTATGGACAGGCTTGTCGCTTACCACCAGGTGTCGACTTGTTTGTTCCGTCATTCTGTATCATAAAAATAATAGACATTTGTATCATCATATGATCATACGGTCGTATTGTTCAATGTAAGGTGTACTTTCGATTGAACGTGGTGACATTGCATAATATACTTTATATTACAAATAACTGAACCTCTTTTGTCTGTAGAGCGTACTGGGCATACAAACGCCTGTTCCCGGAAGAGGCCGAGCAGCTCTTCGCGCGGCTCGACGTCGGCGCGCAGAAGCAGCTGGAGAGGGAGCGGAACCTCGGCAGTCTGGATAGCCTGCATCATCTCGCTTCAGGTATCTACTACAGCGAACTATTTCGAATTATTCCGAACGGTCGGATTCGAGTCATTGATACAAACAATTTTTGTTGTAGAGAAACTTTCTTAAATTAAAAATAAAGAGTTACGTACATTTTTGAGCACCAGTTTTTTTTCAATTAGACACGTCACATCTTGAGCTCTCGTTTTATCAATGATTTAGGTTAATATACAACATAGGCACAAGTTTTGACGAAAACGTCTGATGTGACAGTTGAAAAGGCCAGAGACGATTGTAGTTGTGAGGCACTGTCATATCTAAATCTTCAGTCATCTTCAGCTATATTACAATTATATTGTTTCAGAGAGAAAAACAATCACTAGTCCCAGAAGTCCATCAGCAAGTGTTTCAGGTAATTAGTATGCTTTTTTTTGTCCAAAATCCAGGTCGAAGGACTTTAAAACCGACCTCAAAAGTTCTTCTATTTGCCAAGTTTTATTGAAGTCGGTTGCCGGAAAGTGCGCTAAACCGGATTCATCCCCTAGTTTGCCACCCTTAGAGGCGGAATATTCTCTTCGAATTTAAATGGGGTTAATACTGCGGTATCCTCTATCCAACAAAAAAAGACTCATCCAAATCATAACATACGTACAAAAAAATAGTCGAATTGTGAACCTTTTTTGAAGACGGTTAAGTTCGGGTAGTGCATTCCGTGCTAAAGCTAAGTTCTGCTCTAAATAGTAACTGGTTTAATCACCCTTCAAGAGCAAGAACCACCAGGTTACGATCTGCGGTGGTCTGTGTTGTCCTTGAATCGACTTCGCATTGAAGTAGGCCGCAGCAGAGACAAGATGTTTAAATGGAAGTTTAGATCCCTTGCACACAGTGTATTTTATACACGTTATACGAACGCGCGTAGTTACGGCGACGTCGAGGCTCAAAACGCAGATGGTTGCGTTTATATAGATTCAAACTCCGTGGTCGAGTGGTTTGCACACCGGTTTTTATGGTGTCGCCATCTCTGAGGTCCAGGGTTCGATCCCTGGCCGGGTCAGTGTAGAAAACTAACTTTTCTATGTTGTCTCGGGTCTGGGTGTTTGTAGTATCGTCGTTGTTGCCGATTTCCATAACACAAGTGCTTTAGTTACTTCGGGATCAGGACAACGTATGCGATGCTGTCTAATATTTCTATTTATTTTTAATACTCCATTTGAGTTTAGACGTACAATTTCATGTTAAACTTGTGCTGTAATTTTTATCCTTTTCACACTTCGTATGCAAAACAAACACCCGAAAACGAATAATAATAATTGAGTACGGTTACTAAGCGATTTCTCTTAAGTATATTTTAGGATGATGTTTAAAAGTGTGCGCGCGCAGTGTGCGTGCTTTTATATTTATTTAGTTGCTTCATTTCAAAAACTGACTGAAATTAACAAAGAAAACTAAATGTATGATTATAACAGACTAGCGGAGTAATTTCACAAAAACAGAATTGAATATCATGGTGATTAAACATTCTGACATTCAATAAAAATTTAATTACAGTTAATAGCGACATCTCTAGCCAGGCCTGGTAGCTGTAAAGGTATCTAACTGGACGATGAAATACTTTGATAAACTTCTTATAGATGGCGCTAACGGCTAAAAAGTCGTTGAAAACCAAATACAACGATCCGATAACAAGTACATAGAAAAATTCGTGAGCAGGTTCATTCCGTGGGTTAGTTGGCATAGCGTCTGGCACGGTTTCCTAGGAGACGTCGGTTCGAATCTGGCCGGATCGAAGGAATTTTTCCAAGTGTTCGATCTTTGTATTAACAATTATACCAAAATAGTGCTACATTTCACAAAAAATATATAATGCGCGATATATACGAGCGACTACAGCGGTACCACTAAATTTGTGAACGTTTGCAAAGGTTTACTCGCTGCGACTGCATCGCGTTAACGCGAGTCATATGCGCGTCGTCGGCGCGTATAAAATACGCCGTGTGCATAGGCTCTTAGGGATGGTGGTCTAACCCAATGTGACTGCGGTACCCCGACACAGTCCATACAGCATTTGCTATTGTGCCCTTTGTGCCCCAATACCTGTACGAGGGAAGTTCTCCACGTGGTCATAACGTGGTCAAGCCCAATGTAGTCCTCAAATAAAAGCATCGACGTAATAAGAAGAAAATGTACTAACTAAATATTTATTGTTTCTTTTTCACGCTGCCATTTTGGATCCTAATGGTTTGACAATTTCATTATAACTCTAATAAGCATCGACTGAGAACTTAGTTTCGGGCATAAGCAGAACGAATTCGTTGAGACGCCGGCGCGCATCCCAGGAACGCCCGCCCATCTCGCATATACCTATCGCTATGAGAGGTTAGATAAGCAACGATTTACTCTTGTAGAAAAAAAATAGTGTTATTATATGCAGGAAACCGTGGTAGCCTACTAGTTGAAGCTTCAAAAAACGTGTGAAGGCACCAACCCGCATTGTGCCAGCATGGCTGAGTAGGGCCGAAACCCTCGCCTGTGAGGAGACCCGTGTTCAGCAGTGGGAGTTGTAAATGGGATGGTGATGAGTGGATATTATCTGTATCAATATTATCTAAGCATTAGTGTACTAAAAAAGTTCAAATGTTGGACAAAAAAACAACCGTATCCCAATGAATTAAGCTACTTTGTTATTTAAAAGTATTTAATACTTATATATAACCTTTTCGATCAGTATCATTGTAGTAGTTTATGTGACTGTTACATAATGAAAGGAATGAAAATACAAATATTGGTTTATGAAACGTGCCGACAGGCGAGTGTTTTAATGCCTAAACACTGTTTTATCCATACACATATTAGAAGCTCTCTAGTTTTGTGAGCACTTACACATGCAGTAAGTGGATTGCGAAATATTTATTCGTACGGTGCAAAAACCGTACAAAATAAATGATTAATTTCAAATGAAAATGTAAATACTGCCGTATCTTTTATTAACTGTATTTATTTTTTATAAAAATGTTACTACTCTATGGTCGTTATTTTAAGACGAAGTAAAATGACATTTTCGGGGGTTGTCAGTTGTTCAACAAAGTTTTAAATAATTCCGTAGTTGCGGTCGATAGTTTTACAGATAAAAAATGTCTCAATTGTGATTGTTACGACGTTCTACTGATTACTAATTGCGTTATTGCATTATTATTATCGAAATCAATTTTTGTACTTATACTTTGTAATAAGAACGGGCGGATTTGACTATTTATTCTTTAAAACATGTCTCCTCTTTGAATTTTTAATAGAACTTACTAAAATAGACAATTCAAATAGACCTGTGCCCAGCAGTTGGACGAATAATGGGTCGACGATGATTTAAGCGTGACCAACATTCAATCAATAGAATATTAATATCATACTTTTCGCGCAAGTCATTTTAGTCCATCTTGAAATACATCGAGTATATAACCAGAAATAGAGACGAAATGTCATTTAATTTGTTTGAAAACTATTCTGCCATATCATTACTGTAACAACTGCGCTCCGATTGGCTAGCCCGAGTTCGAAACAATTGACGGGTGTCGTCGAAAATTGCAAAATTACATATTAAATTTAATTCCGTTTGTTTAGTAATTAGATGTTTTGCTGTTTTTCCCCACACCAGCGAATGGAACACCCCCCCATAGTTAGAGTTATTGTATTTTTATTACAATAAATACAAAATGTTTTTGGAACAAACGGAGACGTACACACAGGTCAGTTGTTGCGGCTGTACTATTTCAGTTTTCAGTGATTTCAGCGCAAACGAGAGTTGATATTTAAAAGTGATATCAGGTCCATTTACCTGATGAGTTGCCAGGGATGCATGACCCTTATTTCGTCTCTATTTCTGGTTATATACTCGATGTTGAAAAAAGACAGACTGTACTACAGTAGCTCGTTAAAGACCTAGGCCCAAAGGAACGCGGCCTGTCGTGACGCCTGAGAGTTTGAACCCTCAGACGGTCAGAGCGCCTCGCGCAGTCCGACCCCTAGCTGACTGAGCACCCTGTCCGCAGAGCGGTCGCCCGGCGCGGGCGCGGCGCGCTCGGTGTCGGCCGTGGACGCGGCGGCGGCGCAGCGCGCGCGCGCGAGGGCGCTGTACTCGCACATGAGCCGCGCCAAGATGGCGGCCGGCACGGCCAGCCTGCGTGAGTATGGCGAAGCGTTGGCACGCAGTCGCATTCACGGTTCAGTTGTAAGTTAACTCGCGAGGCTTTCGGCGTGTGACACTCCAGGAAACCGCGGCGTAGCAAAGTAAAAAGTTTGCTTGAAACCTTCGTTTTGAGCTCTACAATTCCACAGTGACGGCTGAATGAAATAACGGTCAGTCATCGACCACCAAAAATAACAAAAAAATAAATATGACTATATTTCGGAATAGGCTGGCATTAATGTTAGACATAACTGGTTGATGACTAAAACCAACTCAGTCAACTGTGCTGTGACCATGGCACCTGCATAATGCCTGAAGCGTTGGTTTCTTGTAATTGAAATAACACAGCAGTTCCTATTAGTATAATTTGTTTTTTATTCTATGACTTACTTTGTCACTTGGACCCTACAGACGTTGCTACTTCGTAACTACCTTTAAAATATTATTTAGAAAGAACATAAAAACATTTGAAATTCAAAAACATTACAAACTCGTGGTTATGTTATCTTGATTTATTTTTGAAGTTTAAAAAAATATGTAAAATGTAAAAAAATGTACTCAGTAAAGTTTTTGAATTTCAGTTTCGTATGTCGTAAAAACACAAGATTTAAGCATTGTTTAAGAAAATATTGAAGATTATCTTCTTTCATATTACAATATTGTAAATATATGTTCGTTTTACGCAATTCTGAAGAAGGGGAAGTCGCCCAACAAGGTACTACTCGACATAGTTTTGCAAACTGTAGATGACTGTGGTTCATTTTCCCGAATTGCACTATTCCGCTCGTATATAAAAAAATCGTTTGATAGTTTTCCGTCGTTTTTAATTTTATTTATTGATTGGTTTTAGAGACATCAGCTTACAGGTAATAAATAATTAAGAAACTCAAAACATAATAATATTTAAACTAATTATTAACTTTATATAAAAACTGTAACCCAACATTTTTTTGTTTCGTCGTTTTACAACGATGCAATTAACAGTATTACAAATTATGCGGCGTTGATTAAACGACAAAGATATTTATATACGCAATTTCATATTGTTATCCTAGTTCCTCAAAATGTATAACAATATTTCGTTGTCAAATAAACAAAAGAACGAATGACACTAACGCGGTATGTAACGGCAACATAGCTTTATCGAATACGATAAATGTGCGACGGGGAGGTTTATCACTTATCGCATGCGATAAACACGTTGGTTGACCAGTGTTGGTTAAGATGGTCAGACAGTTATCTCAAATTTAAGGTTTATGAACTACAGTCGTCTTGGTTTATCGATTTTAAAATTATTACGCACACTAAATAGAATTTGCACACTTCGAGTTATTTTGCAGTCTTGTGAAATTATTTGCGTTATTTATTTCATTATAGTCCATGTTATCTAGTTGTCGCACTTTTAGCTCTTGTATTGCCTTTATTGCCACGCAAACATCTCCCTCACTGTTCCTGTTACCATAGATCTATGTCAATTTTGTAACGTGCAAAGATAAGAGCCTAAGTCTTAAGAAGTATTCTTGCGCAGTCGCGGGAATTTTCGCAGCTATGTTATTTATTTAAAAATATACATTTTGAATTTACAGTGACACCCAAAGCACTCATAACCCAAGTCATAAGTACAAGCTAATACAATAATGTTAATTGTGTATGAGCATGGCAAGTAGTTATTAAAAAAGAATGTCAAAATTACACATTAGTTTCGGTAACTTCGCGGTGAGCACATCAGCATCACGGATCTCGTTCGGAGAGTATTGAACAAGGCAAGAGCTCGAGACTTGGGGGAGTTGCGGGCGTGGTTCGTGCGAACACCATCTGGGGAGGCAAACAGTTAAAGTCGCGTATAATATTATCTATCTTTACTTCTAATAATGCTACTGTAATGTATTAATAGATTCCATCTCGTCGTATCTAAATTGCACATTACACAATTGACATGAAGTTCATTATGCTATGTATGCGTTCCGCGACAATGTAAATTGAGCCTTATTGCTCTAACGTGTGTGTTCGTCTAGCGCGGGCGAAGCGTTCTCCCGTAGCTGCGGCGAGCGGTGTCCCGCCGAGCCCCGAGCGCGCCGCCGGCCGCAGCCGATCTCGGCCTGGAGTCTCACAGTCGCAACGTAAGTCGTCATTAAATGTGGCCATCGTATGGATCAGATTTTTTATGATACCAAGTTTTTTTATAATATCAAGTCGACCCCTCCGACGTAAAGTATCGTATGTCGAAATTGCCAAGTTTACAGAGGAGCCTTTTAAATGTTCTAAATTCACTGAAATAAGCACAACACGTGACTTTAGCATTTCTCAGTTTTATTCGACAAAGCTCGCTACTCACATAGAGTATTATAAAATCCTAGATATCGGTTAGATGCTGTATTAGACGATCACTCTATTTGAGTAACGAGCTTTGCCGAATAAAACGGAGAATTTTAAAACGCTTCCCTGTAAACTTGGCAATTTCGACATACGATACTTTACGTAGGAGGGGTCGAAGTGATGGGATGAACAAGTCGTGCGCCTAATGGCAAGCTACACGCCTGACCCTAACAGTTGCAGCGCCTCTCAGAGCTTTGAATCACAAGGATCTGAGTGGCACTGCCACTGCGCCCGTCGCCCTGAGACATAAGTTGACAAGTCCCATGTGTAATTTCAGCAGCACCCTTACTCTTCGAAACCGGAACGTAGTAATGCTTGGCAGCAGAAGTAGGCAAGGTGGCAGTACTTCCCTGGGCGAACTCTTTACTGTGGTCTGTCTGTACTATTGTAGAAACACCAGGGGAGTCGACCGTCCTCGTCATCGTTTGTCCAAAAGTCGGTCTAATTTAGAATTTCTGTTAGTCTTGATCTGTGTGACACTGCAACTGCTATGGTCTGACGTGTCGCTTACCACCAGTTCCATCACTTTGTATCATAAAAAAACAATAGATTAACTTAATGAAGAAAGTCTCAAATTAACGTTTTAACGCCTTCAGCGACATCAAGATCATCGTCGCCGTCGTCAGCTCGCAACGCAGGCCCGGTGTCGTTGGCCAGCGCAAGACGACGCCCCTCGGGGATACCCAGGTCGCTTGCGAACTCCAGAGAAACCAGCCCCACTAGGTAAATGCTCTATATGGACGAAGCGGAATGACGTTGACATCGTTAGGAGTCACAAACGGGAAGGAATTTCTCCTTGCCTCTTTATATAATTTGTCTTCTCTCCGTGGTACAGTTGGCGCTAGCTAAATTTTATAACTTTTTCACTCGTTGAATATTTTGTAGCGTCATCTATTAGCATAAACCTGAGCTACGTAGTTGAGAGCTGTGACTGATATTTGTATTATAAAAAGCTTCTGAAATTACTAAGCGGAAAACTCTGTACTGGCGAAATCCTAAAAGGGCACCACTATTTTGGTAGGCACTGTTTTCAATTAAGTTGCTATTGAATGTCGTCAGAAAAAATCTTTAGGAAGTTGTACCGTGTGTAGCGCGACATAACTGTTACGTAATTTGTCACCCCTCCCGCACCTACCTCAGGAACCGACTCAGTTAAGCGGTAAGCCTGTTATTACTATGGTACATTTTAAATATTTAATATCTGATGATGACCAGGTATGTGACAAAGAAATGCAGGCACGTGGTCTACCAGGCCAAGAACAATGTGGGAACCTCTGATGTATAGAGTGTAATATTGTTATTCAGGTCTAACCGATCGAGCAGCGTCGTAGGCTCGGCAATTCGCCGCCGCGAGTCCATGGAGAGGACCACGCCTTCCCGCGCACCGCAGGCCACGCTGCGGCTGCTGCAGCAGACCAGGGACGCCGAGGGTATGCTCAGGGTACGTACCGAGAGCAATCATTATTGATACAAAGACTGAACAATGACTCGAACCAGTGGTTGTTGCCTCAACGGGGCTACCGCTGTTGCTCTCTCGTGTTGGGTTTAAAAGGTTTTTTGCTGTAGCATCTATTGAACATCAAACATGTATAAATGTACAAGTGTACAAACTGGTTTGGTTAAAATTCTAAAGCGATCACAATAAATGGAACACCACGGATTACTTAATAGTTACTACGCAACGATAAATCGAAAATACCTACGCTTTAATAGCTTACTAAATCAGACTAATGACACCAAACGCTCACTACGAGGAAAAAGGGACATTTTTTTTTGACGGGGTGCATCTCTGGGAGGCTCAGGGGTTATGTGGGGACTCTCCCTCCAGACTGGAGGGCCTACTACTGGAGGGGTTGAGCCCGCGCCATGGGATCGGTGAACATTCACCACGACGCCGCCCTAAGGAAAAAGAGACCTAAGCACGCACTCAGAGAAATGAAAATAACGTTGCCCCGCCGTGTGCAGTCATGCGGAACCGAATGCTCATAAATGAAAGACTCCTATGAGCGCTTGTGCCGACATCGGTACCCTCAGCAGTAGACACTTATCGCAAAACCATGAGCGAGTGACGGAGACCTTGTAACACGTTCACGTATATTTTGAACATTTCAAATCAAATCAAATCAAATCATTTATTGCTGTAAATGTGGTAAGTACAATATGATGGTAGTGTTACAGAACGTTGTTTCACACATTTAGCCATTTATGACATGCAATATTTAATTATAAACAATTCGTTAAATTATAAAAATGGCGACGTATTCCAAGCATGCGAAAATATGTCAAAATTATGAAATTAATACAATGTCCCTAATTTAAATCATTCTTACAGATAAATAACTCAATTCATTATTATTATGTCCTTAATTTAACATACTCCAATAGATAATTACTCATATATGTTACATAATTCATTGTCGTAGTCAATACCATAAATTCAATATATGTCAACGTTCCTCAAAAAAATCAGTCAATTTGTAATAAATTCTGTCTTTAAGCCATGCAATAGGTCTCTTTTTGAAAGTTTGGCTTGGTAGCATTTTTATATCCTTTGGTAGAGCATTATATATTTGGACACACATACCATTACATTGGTTTTTGTAACTAGATAGTCTAGGTTTACTGTTATAGACCAGTCTATTAGGGTCTCTTACATTTATACTATGGACATCGCTAATTTTTTTAAAGAGGTGAAAGTTTTGTTTGACAAACCATGCCAATTCAAAGATATACATGCACGGTAACGGCAAAATTCCCAAATCCTTGAACAAAGGTGCGCAGGATTCACGTGGCGGGACTCCAGTCATTGCCCGAATACACTTTTTCTGAGCTATGAACAATTTTTTACAGTCAGTTGAGTTACCCCAAACCAAAAGTCCATACCTAAGCAGGGACGCAACGTAGCCATGATAGGCAGCCAAAACTGTGGGGGGTGATGCTACATTTCGCAACCTCCTCAAGACATATACGTAACGGTGTAATTTGTCTATTAGGGACTCCACATGCGGTGACCAGTTGCAACTACTGTCTATTTCCACGCCTAAGAATATAGTTGAATCTGATTCCTGTATACTGACATTTTTGTAGTGTATATTTAGTTTCATTTTGTTCTGCCGTTTTGTACCAAATTGAATGAATTTTGTTTTAGTTAGATTTACAGTCAAATTATTATGATTAAGCCAACCCATTATTAAATCCATTGTACTGTTTATGTCTAATTCGTAATTATTTAAGTTATTTTTGTATGGAACTACCACTGAAATATCATCCGCAAACAATATGCATTTGTGCTGTGTAACATCGGGCAGGTCGTTTATGTAGAGCAAGAATAATAGCGGACCGAGAACGCTACCTTGCGGGACCCCACATGCATTGACTCTATATTGAGATTTTGTTGACGCAACACAGCCATTTTTCTCTATATGCTTTATTTCAACAGCTTGTTTCCTATTTTGTAAATAGGAAGCCAACCAGCTAAGAGTCACACCTCTAATACCCATATTATTCAATTTTGACAACAAAATGTCATGCGACACAAAATCAAACGCGCGAGTCATGTCGAAAAATATCGTAGTCGTGGGTATTTTTGCATTTGTGTTCTCCACTATCTGACGTACAAGATGAAATGCAGCCAGAGAAGTGGACTTTTTTGATTGAAACCCGTATTGCTGTTGTTTAATTATATTATGCTTATTAATAAAACTCAGAAGCCTCTTCTTCATACATTTCTCAAATATTTTTGACAATACAGGCACTAAAGTTATTGGGCGATAATTTTCAATAGATGTTCTTGCGCCCTTTTTGTAAATTGGTTTTACTAAGGAAATTTTTAAGACTTCTGGAAAAACGCCTTTTTCAATGGACAAGTTAATTAATTTTGTGAGAGGACTCGCCAGTTGTTCATTACAGTATTTTATTACATTAGTTGGTAATTCATCGTACCCTGTAGCGTTTGTACATTTCAGAGTTTTAATAATATCGCTAATTTCACTCGATGCAAAGGGCTCTATAAATATACTACTTACTAACGAAAATTTGCTAGTATTTTTGAATAACTTCTTGTGTGTGTTGGTCAGGTTGATTAGATAATTATTAAATTCATTGGCTATGTCAAATGGATCAGTTGTAATTTTGTCATTTATTAAAATTTCATTTATAAATTCATTATTATACAATTTTGCTTTATTTTTATATTCGTTTTTTATTATATTCCAGGATACTTTCCCCATACTCTTCGCACGTGAAATTTGCGTATCGTTATAGTTTCTCTGGGCCATATTCAAGCAACTTCGTAGAAGTTTTGAATATATTTACATATTTTTTTCTTTTCATTAGTTTTCTGCGTGTAGTATTCATAGCGCAGTTTTCTTTTAGTTTTACAGCTTTTAATTATTCCTCTGGTAATCCATTTCGGTTTTGTATATTTATTTGAAATTTTAGCTTTTTTCATTGGAAAACACAGTTTAAAGAGTAAAGTTAAAACTTGGTGAAATTCTTGCATTGCTGTATTCACGTCTGTTTCAGAAAGCATATCCAAAAAATTTAATTGGCCTAGATAATTACGGAAC